ATCCACACGGCACCAAATCGGCCCATACAGATAGCACTCGATATCTTCGAGCCCCATTTCGAAAGCTTAACCACGCCAGAGGCGGTAACAGTCACTACAAACTCCTTTGCCTCGACTCTAAATCGTGAACTGAAAACCATAGCCTCCATTACATAGGGCTGTTTCCCATGATTTTGAGCTAATGGGCCGGAAGATGACGGAACCATTGGTCGGAATAGCTTCGTAGCAGTCGGAGGAACCTGGAGGTGTTGGCCACTCGCGGGCACGTGAAGCCCATGCGCCGCCTAAACGGCCGGTGACCCACGTGCCTGACCGGCCGGAGGCGGAATGGCCTGCAGAGGCTTCCGATCAGGCGTGTGAGGACTGAATCTGGGCGGAACCTGGATCTAGTCGGAATTTGTTGGGCTTGCAAGGCTAGTTTGTGGCGTGAGGTGGGTGGGGCTGGGTCGTCGGTTCTAGGTCTGATGACTGGCGCCGGAGAGGCCGGCGACAGTGGGGTTCGGTGGTGGAGGAGTTGGTTTGGATATGACGGGAGACATCGAACTTAGGGTTTTAGCCCTCTGTTCGCTCGGGGTTGGGAGGAATGCCTCAACTACATAATAGATGTTAATCCTTGTTTGTTTATGTAGACTCCTGCCAAAATAAGTTATAGAAGGTTTCTTGCTATATCTAATTGCTGGCAGATTAGGCAGAATCTTTAGGATCTGTTAAGGATTTGTTAAATAATTGTATACCTGTATATTAGGAATATTAGCTAGTTAGTTATTCGGTTCCTTATCTTGCGCATATTTTTAGCAGCTTTAATCTGCGTATAGTCTCTTCTATAAGAGGGCTAGTATTGTAAGTTCTTTTTACAAATTAATAGAGAAACTCTACTCATTAACTATTATTGTAAGCTCTTCTTCATTAAAATTTTTGGATCTCCTTATGTTCATATGACTAGCAAATTTAGATCTAAAGTTGATTCTACGGTTGAAAAATGTGTTTTCATTGGTTATGCACCAAATAAAGGAGGGTAAGAGTGCTACAACCCTACAACAAAAAAGCTTCATGTCAGTATGGATGTTACGTTTTTGGAAAATTATCCATTCTTTACTAAAAATTCCCTTAAGGGGAGATAAGACTATTAGAAGACAATTTTTGGATAACTGACAATCCTCTTCCTGCTACTGTTTTAGATACTCTGACTCCAAATCAACCACTCATAATTACTATTGAAAACAAAACCATCACTAGTCCATAGGTACCAAGCATTGAGTTATCACAAACAGGGGGAGAAATGCCGCTGTCAAATACTGAGTCGCTGGTTTATACTCGAAGAGGTACAAAGAAGAACAAAGACCTATCTACCATTCTAGAACAGAACCATTTCAAATCACCGAGCATTGATCCAGTAATCCTATATCTTCCTATATCCCTCTTTCTAATGAGTCTTCTGATCCTGATATCCCTTCAGATCTTGATATTCCTATAGCTATTAGAAAAGGAGTTAGAACATGTACCAATCTCCCAACGCCAAATATATGTCTTACACAAAGTTTTCCAAATCCCATAGAGCTCTTTCTTCTAAGATTACAAACTCATTTGTTCTGGTAAACATTGAAGAAGCACTAGGTGACATGGATTGGAAGTTGGCAGTTCTGAAAGAGATGAATGCTCTTAAAAGAAGTGGTACTTGGGAAGTAGTTGACTTATCAAAAGATAAGAAAATAGGGTGTAAATGGGTGTTCACTTTCAAGTGTAAAGCAGATGAAAGTATGGAATGATATAAGGTAAGGTTCATGCAAAAGGATTCACACTTTGGGATAGACTATTAAGAAAACTTTGCTCTACCAACAAAAATAAACTAAATATTGGTTTTATTGCCCCTACCCGTGAATTTTGATTGGTCATTGCATTAGTTAGATGTTAAGAATGCTTTCTTAAATGGAGACTTAGAGGAGGAAGTGTTCATGAGTTTACTACCTGGCTTTCAAGGAAGGATAGGTTGAGGAAAGGTTTGTCGATTAAAAAAGTCACTATATAGCCTAAAACAGTCTCCTAGAGCGTGGTTTGATTGTTTTTGAATTGCTGTGAAAGGTTATGGGTATCGTCAAAGCCAAGCTTACCACACCAATTTCTACATGCACTCAACGAATGGTAAAATTACTATCCTAATTGTCTATGTGCATGACATCATTTTAACAAGTGATAACAATATTGAATTGGAAACAGTGGCGGACGCTGATATTTGGAATTAGTGGGGCACAATCAAATTTATACATTATTTGGCCTCTATTTTTTGGAAATGAAAATGGGTGTAATATTATTTTTTTTAAAAAAATGAATGGTTGAAAAGGAAGGAAATTTTTTTGATTTATGTGTAATATTATTTTATGGAAGATTGTGTGGTTGAAAATATGAGAGAAAAAAAGTAATAAAATGGGGGCCAAACGAGGGCCTATGAAAAAGTTGCTAAAAATTTAGTATATTTGATATTTTATTACAACTGTTCTCTTTGCATTCTAACGTTTCATAATTATATCATTTTCAATACTTTAAATGCAGACTTACATTTAAAGTACTTTTCTATACCTGATACAAACAACCAATTAAAACGATCAATTCGAGTGAAAAAATAATCTATTTATCAATAATCACAGATTTACCAATAAAAACAATCAATTCAATTGTTATTTAGTAATGGAAGGATTCTCTTTTTTCTTCGTGATATTGGAGTTTATTTAAAAAAAAAAAAAATCCCTCTAAAGTTGGTGGGTCACTTGACCTACTAGGACCCAATGTGGGTCCACCAATGATTGGAAAGGCTTAAAAAGAAACTTGTAGTTGACTTTGAGATCAAAGATATGTGCATGTTGAAATGCTTTCTTCGGATGGAATTTGCTAGATTAAGGGAAGGGATATTTGTTAGTCAACGAAAGTGTATACTTGACTTGCTTAATGAAACGGGACTGCTGGGTTGCAAACATGCAGAAACTTCAAGTGAAACGAATGTGAAGCTGCAACCTGCCTAAGCTGAAGCGGTAATAAAACGGGAGAAGTATCAAAGACATGGGATGGTTAATCTACTTTTCATACGCGTTCATATATAATTTTGCAGTAAGCATGGTGAGCCACTTCATACACATCGAGATTAGAGCACTTTAAGGCTGTCTATAGAATTTTGAAGCCTTGAAGGGAACACCTAAAAATGGAATCTTGTATCAGAAACATGGTCATCAAAAGTTTATACCTATTCAGATTGGGTTGGGAGCATAACGGAGACAATATATTGACTTTTGGTTACTGTACTTTTGTCAATCGAAATCTTATCACACGCCGGAACAAAAGATAAAATGTAGTTGCAAGGAGCAACGATGTTACTCATGGAATTTGTGAAGTTATGTGGATTAAAAGATTACTAGAAGAATTGAAGGTGTCTGATTCATCACCTATGAAAGTCTATTGTGATAAAAAAATCAACTATCGTAATTGCTCACAATCAGGTACTACATGACCGAACAAAGCACGTGGAAGTTGACAAGCATTTCATCAAGCAAAAGATTGAAAGTGGAGATTTGTATGCCATATGTTCCAACTACTGACCAGATTATAAATATTCTCATCGAGGAATTACCTAAGAAGATGTTCGACTTTCTAATGGGCTAGCTAACAATGGAAGACATCTTTATGCCAGCTTGAGGGGGAGGGAAGATTACGCAGAATCTTTAGGATCTGTTAAGGATTTGTTAAATATCTATAAATCAGTAAATGAGGAATCTTAGCTTGTTAGTTATTGGGTTCCTTATCTTAGCTAGCTAGTTAGTTATTTTGTTCCTTATCTTATGCAAGTTTTTAGCCTTAATCTGTGTATAATCTGTGCAAGTTTTAAGAGGACTAGTATTGTAAGTACTTTTTACAAAATAAACAGAGAAATTCAACTTATTAGCTTTGTACCATCGAGTGAATTACCCAAATGGTCACTGAACATTGTAAAAGGTTTCCACGAGGTCACTGAACTTTAAAAATCATTCAATTCATTACTGAATTTTGCAAAAGGTTTTCGAGGCCATTGAATTTTGCAAAAATTTTCCATAGGGTAATTTTTAAAGTTCAGTGACCCCGTGGAAACTTTTTGCAAAGTTCAGTGAAGAATTGAGTGATTTTTAAAGTTCAGTGACCTCGTGGAAACTTTTTGAAAAGTTCAATGACTATTTGGGTAATTCACGCATGTACTATCTATCTTATATGGAAGATCCTCTGTATGTTGAATGCAACCGGTGGCACTTGAGTGACTAAATATCGTGCACTAACTTTGACGTAGGCTACTTTAGTATGCCACATTTGAATGTTACGAAATAAAAGGTTGTTGGAAAGTACTTTACAACATCTCGTTGGATTCCTCACTTTGACGAGAAATTCACACGCCTTATAATTCAGTCGACAAAGTAGCACAAATTATGTTTGTTAGTGCAGGCTAATTTCCTTCTGATATAATAATTTCCAATAGCAATCAAATGCTAGCTGGAAAGATTAATTAAATGATGTTTCTTAAGAAATTCCCTTTCAACACAAGAAATAATGAGTTTTAGGATACAAATTTTTAAATTGCTTTATAAATTTAGTCAAAATCAAACATTAATTTCCACCTCGCATTCAAAATTTCTATTTGTTATTATTCACACATTTCATGGATCTACAAATATTCTTGTTACTATTCTTATTTATTACTTATTAATAAATTTGTCAAATGGATGATAAGACATTTGAACTTGATTAAGTTATGGGTAATACTCTATACTTTTATAGGTTGGAAAGTTCTATTCAAGATGTCATACACCATACTAGGTTTTATTTGGTGTGGAATTCTTTAGCATCGTTGGAACTATGGGTTATGAAAGTGGAGAATCTTTATCCATAGATTGCATTAGTTCTTGACGTTTGTAAATGGTGCACTTTGTTTTTCATTTTTGTGTGCTTTACTCTCTATAAGGTGGCTAATGATTTATAAATTTCTTCAGGCATCTATTTATTCCCTACTGCAAGCAGCAAGTGAGATTTCATCTCGAGGAGATGGAAGAGATAGAGATATCAACGTCTTTGTGCAGAAAAGGTATAAAAAACATTTCACTATAGAGACTAATAGCTTCAATAGAAGCATTAAATATGTTCATTCCTAACACCTAAAATATACGAAGATTGGATGGAAGAATTCCAATTCTATAAATCTTATTTTTTACAATGGAAAACCGTAAATATATAATACAATGAAGTGGGATAAAAAAGAAAATAATCTCCTACCTAAGGAAAGAAGAAATTATTTCCTAACTAATTTACAATTTTACCAAATAAAGATAGAAAAAATCTTTCTATAATAATTCTATAAAATTTTAGATTTTTATACTCCCCCTCAAGTTGGATCATAGATATTGACCACATCCAACTTGCAGATGAAATCATCAAAATTTTGTCCGTGTAGCCCTTTGGTGAATACATCTGCTGTTTGTTCTTTGGTGGGGATATAGATCATGTAAATAGTTGCGTCTTCAACTTTTTCCTTTATGAAGTGTCTGTCCACCTCTACATATTTAGTTTGGTCATGTTGTACTGGGTTGAGTGAAATATTGATCGCTGCTTTGTTATCGCAATAGAGTTTAATTGGGATTTTCGTTGTAACTTGTAGTTCTTTCAAGAGTTTTTTCAACCACAGCTTCACATATCCCTTGAGCCATTGTCGTGAACTCTGCTTCAGCACTGCTCCTTGCTACTACATTCTGTTTCTTACTTCGTCAGGTTACTAAGTTTCCCCATATGAATGTACAATAACCAGTAGTAGATCTCCTGTCTTTGTTGCTCCAGCCCAATCAGCATCAGTGAATATTTCTATGTCCCTTTTTCTTGTTTCTTGAACAATAGTCCTTTTCTAGGTGAACTTTTGAGATACCTCAAAATTCTATATACTGCTTCTAGATGAGTCTCCCTTGGAGAATGCATATGTTGACTTACCACACTCACGACGAATGCAATGTCAGGTCTAGTATGTGATAAGTAGATCAATTTTCCAACTAGTCGCTGATATCTGTCATTTTCTACTGGTTCCCCCATGTCAATTTTCCTACCAGTATCAATGGGAGTGTTACTTGGTTTACACCCAAGCATGCCTGTTCAGTTAACAGGTCCAAAATATATTTTCGTTGTGAAACATTAATACCCTTCTTTGACCGGCTACCTCCATTCCAAGGAAATACCGCATTTGTCCAAGATTCTTTACTTCAAATTCGGAGGCTAGGCCCTTTTTTAGCCTCTCAATCTCGACTGTATTATCTCCAGTGAGCACTATGTCATCAACATATACAATCAAAATGGTCTTTGTCCCATCTTCAAATATTTTGAAGAACATAATGTGATCTCACTGCCCCTGTCGATATCCCTGCCTTTTTAATACATTTGAAAACTTATCAAACCACACTCTTGCTGATTGTTTGAGTCCGTACAAAGATTTTTTTAGTTTGCATACTTTGTTCTCTTCTCCTTTCTTGTCGAAACAAGGCGGTAATGTCATGTAGACTTCTTTTTCCAATTCCCCATTCAAAAATGCATTTTTGATGTCAAGTTGTTGTAGTGGCCAATCTAAGTTTGCTGCTAGTGATAGGAGGACCTGAATTGTATTCAATTTGGCCACAGGTGCGAATGTTTCTGTGTAGCCTATTTCATAGGCTTGAGTATATCCCTTTGCAACCAGACGAGTTTTGTACCGTTCTATAGTCCCATTTGCTTTATATTTCACATTAAACACCCATTTACAGCCAACTGGTCTCTTACCTTGTGGTAGCTCCACTACATCCCAAGTTTCATATTTTTCTAGAGCTCTACTTCTTCCATCACTGCTTCCTTCCATTTAGTAATTTCCAATGCTTCCTAAATATTTCTGGGAATCTTTGTATTATCAAGGTTAGAGACAAAAGTTCGAAATTGTGGAGATAAAGTTTTGTAGGCTATGAATTTTGAGATAGGATGAAGAGTGCATGACTGTTTTGGTTTTCTTGGAGCAATAGGTAAATCACAATCAGATGACTTTGGGGATATTTCATGAGGATCTAGATTTGTCACCGGTTCATACTCTTTTGGTGCTTCGAGTGTGAGGTCTTCCTTATACTTTGATTTTGACTTTCTTGAATAAACTATCATCTCTTTGTCAAGTCATTCCTTCTGATCTCCCCTGGAGTTCAACTTGCCTTCTGTAGATGGCATATTAGAATCGGTAGGTGGTTCAAGATTTTGTATCGATTCATATTCAGATGGGTTAAGGGAGATTTCAAAAAAGCGATCTTCGACTATGTTCTCCCCATGAGGTGAGGTTTTTTGAAAGAAGGGTTTTGTCTCAAAGAAAGTGACATCAAGGTTAACAATTACCCTTTTTGTTATTGGATCATAGCATTTATACCCATTCTGTGTTGGTGAGTATCCAATGAATACACATTTGAGGGCACGTGGTTCGAGCTTAGTTCGATGATGGGAATGGATGTGAACAAAGGCCGTGCAGCCAAACACTTTAAGGGGTAAGTTTGAGCTGATGCGAGAGTAAGGGAAAAATTTTTGGAATTTTTTAAGAGGGGTCTCAAATTTGAGAATGCGACTAGGCATTCTGTTTATAAGGTAGGTTGCTGTGAGAATGGCATCACCCCAAGAAGGTGGTATGCATATTAGAAGTAAACAACAATGCTCGAGCCACCTCAAGTATGTGTCTATTTTTTCGTTCAGCAATTCCATTTTGTTGTGGGGTATCAACGCATGAGCTTTGGTGAATTATCCCATTGTCTAAAAGGTAATTTCTCAGAGTATGATTGACATATTCTGTGCCATTATCTGTGCGCAGAATCTGAATTTTTGTCTAAAATTGAGTTTGGATCATTGCATGAAAATTTATGAATATAGATTGGACATCTCTTTTTTCTTTCAGCATATAAACCTAACAGATTCGAGTATGGTCGTCGATGAATGTAACGAACCATTTAGTGTGGGTGCGTTTGGGGGTTCGTGAAGGTCCCCAAAGGTCACTGTGAATTAATGCGAAGGGTTTAAATGGTTTGTATGTGGATTTTGGGAATGGTGAACGATGATGTTTTGCGAGTTCACAAGTTTCACAACTAAAATCAATAGACATTTTATTCGAAAATATTTAAGGTAATACAAGTCTCATATATTGAAGGTTGGGATGACCCAGTCTAAAATGCCATAACAGAATTTCACTATCCTTGGGAACAAATGCAGAATCACAACTAACAAATCGACGTTGTTTAGTCACATCAGTTTCGTCAAAGTAGTAAAGCACCCTACACTCTTTAGCACTGCCAATCGTTTTCCCCGATGATAGGTCTTGAAAAATACAATGAGAAGAAACAAAGTTAGCGGAACAGTTTGAGGATTTTGTCAATTTACTAATAGAAAATAGACTACAGGATAAATTTGGGACGTGTAGGACATGATTAAGTGTTATTGAGTCAGAGAGTTGAATACTCCCTTTTCCGGCCACTGAGGATAGAGAGCCATCTGCAATTTTAACTTTAAGGTTGTCTGCACATGGTGAGTATGAAAGGAACAGGTGGTGGGAGTCCGTCATATGATCGAACGCACCAGAGTCAATAATCCAAGGTACTTTAGAGAGTACCGTGGTGTTTAGGGCTTTTGGAAAAATACCTTTGTGGGCTAGGGAGCTTGACGAATTAGGTGATTGAAAATTTGAGAACATTTTATAGAGTTGTTCGAGTTGCTCTAGGTTGAATGCACTGCTTGAAGTGGACTGTTGCGTGTCATTAATCGCAGCTTGATACCCGTGATTTCTAGTATTTTGTTTCGATTTCCAATCACTTGGTTTCCCGTGCAAATCCCAACACGTATCTTCTTTATGTCCGGATTTTCGACAGTGGTCACACCATGGACGACTCTTTTGATGTTTTGGGCTTGGTCCAATTTTTGTCAGTCCTCTAAACATTTGGGTCGATCCGTCAAACCCAACAGATTTGGGCCCATTAAAAGATGATTTTTTCACATTTGCAGCCAAACTATCAGGCCCACTATCCATTGACCCGGTTGGCCCAGTTGACTGCAAAGATAAGGCCGATGCGTCCAACCCAGCGAGTCCACCTTCTTTCTTCATCATAATCAGCCAGCGACTTTCTTCTTGCCGCACTTCAACGAACACATCACGGGTGGTGGGAAGCGGTCGGTGACCGAGAATCCGACCTCCAACATCATCCAAATCCCTGTTCAGTCCGGCCAGAAATTCATACACTCGCTCGTTCTCCAGCCGTTTCTTATACTTGATACAATCACCGGCGCAGTCCCATTCGTCTTCAACACTCTGGTCCAATTCTTGCCATAAAGCTGTCATCTCCATGTAATAATCGGTGACATCTCTTTCCCCTGGCTTTGATTGCCACAACTTTGTTTTAATCTCGAAGATTTGCGAGAAATTTTTGGCGTCGGAGTACATCTCCCTGACTGCTTCCCAAATGTCTTTTGCAGTGGGCATGAAGAGATAAATTTTTCCAATTTCGGGCCTCATCAAGTTCACGAGCCATGCCATTACCATGGAGTTCTCGGATTTCCACCTTTTTTGAAGATTCACGTCGGCAACGGGCTGCTTCGTTTCTCCGGTGAGATAACCTAACTTTCTTTTCCCATCCACCACCAATTTATTGGACTGAGCCCACTCCCTATAGTTTCTCCACCGTTAATTGGAAGGACGAGTTATCCATTCCAATTGGACCCATGGTGGGAGTAATTTCGGTTTCACCCGTAGGAGACCCGGATGTTGCCGAGTCCCTGCTGTCTCCAGTTTTTTCCGCCATTGATGACTGGTTTTACTGTGACTCCGGCTCTGATACCATGAAGATTGGATGGAAGAATTCCAATTCTATAAATCTTATTTCTTACAATGGAAAACTGTAAATATATAATACAATGAAGTGGAATAAAAAAGAAAATAATCTCCTACCTAAGGAAAGAAGAAATTATTTCCTAACTAATTTACAATTATACCAAATAAAGATAGAAAAAATCTTTCTATAATAATTCTATAAAATTTCGGGATTTTTACAATATAAATACCATATTTCTCGATTATGTAAATTATGAATCCACCATTAAATTAAAAATTGAGGTCTTAGTTTGACTCTGCTCAAAGGCATAGCCA